TGTTGGTGGGATCTGATTCTGGGATTTGGAAAATGTGATTGTTGTTAGGGTTTTCATGCAGATAAACAACAAGGGGAGAGATAGATAGATTTGGCTAGGTGGGTTTGGGTGAGGTTTTGGATTGTATCTGTTGGATTTGAAGATTGTTTTTTTATTACTTATCAGGGAAATCTCAATATAAGACACTACACTTCTCTACAGCAACAACAACCAAACAAAGAACAAGAAGAGAGAGGAAGAGAGAGAGAGAGAGAGAGAGATGAAAAAAATTATACTTCAGGTATTCGGTACGGTATGGTACTGACCGGTACCAAATACCAGGTACCGCTACCATACCATACTCCCTTGATACGATACGACATCATACCGAATATCTCCTCATCCCAAATGAAATGGTATGAAATCAGTTTAGTAAGGTATGGTTAGTGTACGGTTTCGGTATTTCGGCTTTAGATGCCCAACCCTAATTTGCATGCTCTTAGATTTGATATGGGATTTAAAATGCCCGATCCAAGTGGAGCACTGTAGGCCCTCACCATTTTATATGCTCTTTTCATGTTTATTTCAATATGTGAGACTTATGAAACGGAAGGACAGCTACACCAAAACCCAATTGGACAAAGTTTGAGATGAATGAGCAAGTCATATGTTAGAGTGGCTTTGAATTTGAACTATTAGCATCCCCCGTCATTTTACATGTTTTTTTTCAAGTATTTTGCTCATATATAGACAAGAATAAATAATGTATGGAGGGTTAATCGTTTTATTAGTCCCTGAATTTAGACTCGATTTGCATTTGAGTACCTCAATTTCTAAAATGGTTCCCGTGATCCTTTAACTTTAGTTTCGTTCTGACAAATGGTCCTGTCGTCAATTTTGTTAATTTTTATGTTAAATGTAGGGCCAAAATGGTATTTTTATTATATATGAAAATTGATTAAAATATGAATAAAAAATTAAAAAAACTAAAAAATTCAAATTAAACTCTCTCTCCCCCTCTATCCTGATTTCTACTCCCCTCAAACTTTATTTTTCTTTATTTTTGTTGAGTTTTTAATTTGATTTTCTTTTATTGCTATTTTAAAAATATGATTTTTTATTCATTGTTTTGGTTTTAATATAAAAATACCATTTCGCCTCTACATTTAACATAAAAATATAAAAATATGATTTTTTATTCATTGTTTTGGTTTTAAATTTATATATGTTTTTTTATGTGCAATGGCAACACTTCATGATCTGTATTGATATTATGAGAGTAATCAAGTAAAGTGTAAAATATCTATAGTTTTGCACAAACAACTAAAATTAAAACATCACTCATAAGATAAATTTATATATAGTTTTGTATTTATAAGTATTGTTGAGTGACTGACTTGGAAATATCTGTTAAGGACATCCTCAATATCTTTTATTTACTTGTAATACTCTAATTATTATTATTTATAAAAGATGGACGTTCCGCAATTTGTTTGTCTTGCACTTTGATCAGAACAATTCATCTGTTTTTTAGCCGTGTTGTCGTCATAGCAAAGGACAACCTCCCACAACAAATAATCGCCGTTGACTCTATGGCAAAGAAGGAGAGGAGAACTGCGAGTTTCCATTTGAATAGTTCATTCATAAGCAAAACATCTTTATACGGCGTCGCGTTTCATGGAATGATTTTGTGGTGCTCAAAAATCTCCTTAATCTTGTTTTCTTCCCACAAATCACATGCTTTTGACAAGTAAGTATTCTGGCTAGAAAACTTGGCACATGTACCGTGTTTTTCGTACTCCATCGCCCAAAACCACATATCATTGTCTTTTCCTTGGGCAACTCTCTGCTCCAGATTTGGCCAGGAATTTTTCATCTTCGATAGCAATGAAGCATTATTTTGCAGCTAATTAATTAGGGAAATAGCCTTCTATGCCACCATTTTCATAATTTTAAATGAAAATACCGCCCATTCTCAAAAATTGTAAAACTGTCACCTATAAATATATATTTATTGTTCACTTATTGCACATATATCACTATTACAGAAATTTTGGTCTCTCTCAGCTCCCTATTCACTCTCTCTGCATTCGCTTGCTCTCTCTCTCTCTCTCTCAGCTCTCTCTCACAGTTCTCTCTTCCTCTCTCAGCGCTTTCTCTCTCCATCGACCACCACCACTCTCTTTCTCCCTCTGTCGCGAAAACCTAAACAGCACTCTCTTTCTCTCTCTGCAGTCAATGTTAGGGTTTGTTGAGGGGGTTCTTGAAGGTGAAAGAGAGGCTTTCTTCATTAATGCTCTCTCCCTTCAACAATCTCTCAATTCCCTCTCTTTTCATGTCTTCAATCGACGTCTTTCTCTTCTCCTCTACTCCTTCAGGGCCTCAAAAAACCCTAATTCTTGGTTTCGATTCTGACTTTTTTCACATACTTCCTCCTCATTCTCAATCCTCTCAGACAAAATTCGTGCTTTTCTTTAGGTGTTTATGGGATTTCCAATTTGGTTATGTGCACAAAACGAGTGATTCTAAGGTAGTTTTTGTATTTGTTATTGACTAGTTTGTCTTTTTGTATGCTTTTCATTTGAGAAGGATAATTTCTCTAACCTGTGACTGATTTTGTGAAGTTTAGTAATTAGAGAGATTGGAAATTTCTGTATTTTAACTGTGAATTACTTCATGCTTGGATGAAACTTCTATTGGTCTGATTGATTTTGCTCTATTGATGTAGCCTCTCCAATCAATTTCCAAGTCTGGAATTGCATAACAGAGAGCAGAATGGTCGGGTTGATGATTTATCAGCTTCTAAGGTAAAGGGGGAACTACATAAGTGTTTGAATGAGCCTGTTACAGTTGCTACGGTCTTGTTGCCTCGTGGTTTAATCAATTCAGGGAATCTGTGCTTTCTCAACGCAACACTACAGGCTCTTCTATCCTATTCTCCTTTTGTTCAGCTTCTGCAGGAATTGAGAGGTCGCAAAGGGGCTAAGGGTTCTTTTGTTTATTCGATTACTTTTCATTTC